CATTGTGATCTTTCATTCAGGAGGATATTTCCCTGTCACCCCGGACTGAAGGATTTCTTAAAGATCCAGCTGTAAAAGGAGGAGGGTGACTTAGTTAGGGTTTCCATTGCTGTGAAGAGACACCATGACCATGGCAACTCTTATAAAGGACAACATTTAACTGGGGCAAGCTTACAGGTTCGGAGGTTCAGTCCAGTATCATCATGGCGAGAAGCATGGCAGCTGGAGAAGGATCTGGAAGTTCTACATCTTGTTCCGAAGGGAACCAGGAGGAGACTGATTTCCAGGCAGCTAGGAGGAGGGTCTCAAAGCCTACTCTGACACTGACACATTTCCATCAACAAGGCTACACCTCCTATAGTGCCACTCCCGGGGCCTAACATAATCAAAGCATCACAGTGACTTTAACTGTAAAATTTAATTTTGTGTAAGCAGAAGCCTATTGATAATCAACAAATGCCTCTTACTTTACACATTGTATGAATTTTTACATCACAGTTCCAAGGGATGAGTTTCCGGTGTGGCATTTTCATGTTGCCCTTTATCCTTAGCCCCTCCCCTACTGCTTTCTCGCATCTGGTCGCACCAATCCTGCTGTTCCCCTTCCTCCAATAAAAGTCTTCATTTGTGCTTTCATATCACATGGGCTTCATGACCCGCCCTGCCCGTCATCTTTCCCCATTGGCCTCCCGATCCCATAACACCTCTTCCTTTTCTTTTCTTTTCTTTTCTCTATGGGCCCTTTCTAGAATTACAGCTACACACACACACACACACACACACACACACACACACGCACGCAGCACGTTTCGCCAACATGTTGCATTTGTCAGCTTCTCACACCGCACTCACCTTAGTAACCTTTCTCCAGCCACTTTTCTGTAAATGCTATACTTTCAGTTTCCGTTTCAGAAAAATGAAGTTTCATCGCGCGTCTCTGCCGTATTTTCTTTACCCTCTCATCTGCTGATGGGTATCTAGGCTGCTTCCACATCTTAGCTGCTGTGAATAGTGCAGCAATAAACATAAAAGTGACGTATACAGACATTTGGATATGTGCTTGGGAGGTGGTTCTCGTTTTAGCTGGTTGAGAACCTTCACACTGACTCTCTCAGTGGTTGTACCAGTTTGCATCCCCACCAGCAGTGTATAAGGGCTGCCTTCTCTCCATACCCTCACCAGCATTTGCTGTTGCTTGTTTTCTTGATAAGCATTTTGACTGTGTGAGCCACCTCACACTAGCCATCCCATAATAGCTTTAGTTTGCATTTCCCTGATGGCTAAGGATGTGATTATTAGCTACTTGTGTTTCTTCCTTTGAGAACTATTATGTTCTTCATTAGCCTATTTATTGATTAGATGGTTTGATTTGTTTGTTTTTGGTTTGGCTTTGGTGTTTAATATTTTTTGTAGTTCCTCATACATTTAGATATTAATCCCTTGTCGGATTCATAGTTGGCGGATTTTTCTGTATTCTATCCTAAACTTTCACTCTGATAAACTTTTAATATCGTGTAATGCTGTTTGTCAATTCCTGGGATTATTTTCTCTATTATTGAAATCCTTTTTAGAAAATCCTTATCTAATTCTCTGCCTTGAAGCATTTTTCCTGAGTTTCCTCTTTAACTCATGTTTCTGCAGCATCAAATATGTGCATCTAGTTTTATTCTTTTTCATCTGCTATCTAGTTGAGCAGGCTATCTTTGTTCTATGAATATGCATTTGTATGCAAATATACTAAGATGTATTTATTTTGTATATATTTGTTGTGTGGTTTCTATGTATTGACAAAACATTAGGTGGTTGTAGCTGTATACATTTACTTCCGGGTCCTCCTTTCCATTCTGATGGTCTATGTGTTTGGTTTTGTGCCAGAGCCATGCTGTTCTAGTTACAATAGCCCTGTATTATAATTTTAGAGCAAGCATAGTGATATCTCCAGCATTTCTCTTTCTGCTTAGGTGGAGTCTTCAAGAATCTTACAAATTTTTGTTCTCCCAGGCTAGAGCCTCTTCTTTCCTCCTAGAGAAGTGTTTCAATTTGGAGGGATAGGCCACACAGTGGACACTAGTCCTGCAATAACGTCTTTATCACCTAGAGAAGAAAGACGCCTTTGACATCAATGGCACTGATGCCCCAACCAACAAGCCCTTCATTGTCTTGACACGTGGAATCATTTATATTCTTCAAAGATCATAATTAGCTAAGTTTTCCAGGTGTGTGTGTGTGTATGTGTGTGTGTGTGTGTGTGTCCCTGGTTAGCAGCTGTGGATTTGAACCCTTTCCTGGGAATTGTATGAGGCAATTAAACTTGGCATAATGACAAATTGTTTTCAAGTTGCCACTCACAAGTACCCATGAGAGTGAGTGATTGAGTAGGTGAGTAAGTGAGTTGAGTGGGTGGGTGAATGAGTGGGTGGGTGAGTGAGTGGGTGGGTGAGTGGATGGGTGAGTGAGTGAGTGGCTGGGTGAGTGAGTGGGTGAGTGAGTGAGTGGGTGAGTGAGTGACTGGGTGAGTGAGTGGGTGGGTGAGTGGGTAGGTGAGTGAGTGAGTGAATAGGTGAGTGAGTAGGTGAGGGGGTAAGTGGGTATGTGAGTGGGTGAGTAAGTGGGTGGGTAAGTGAGTGGGTGAGTGAATCTACAGGCATAGTTGGTATGCCCCGCCCACTCTTCCCAGAATTTGGGTCAGAATCCTCTGGATTTACCTCCAGGTCTGCTCTTTCTTGCCTGTAGTAATTGTTTCTTTCCTTTTAACTTTTTATTAATTTTTTTGTGAGTTTCACATCATGCACCCCAGTCTTGATCATCCCCCCACATCTCATACCCATATTTTGCCCTTGCAAACTCACTCCTTTTTTAAAAAAGCATAAAAATCTCATCCTGGAAGCTGTAATGTCTCACAGTGTGTCCCACAGTATACCCCTCTGTGATGGTTTGTATATTCTCTGCCCAGGGAGTGGCAGGATTAGAAAGTATGTCCCTGTTGGAGTAGGTGTGTCTCTGTGGGTGTGAATTATAAGACTCTCACCCTAGCTATCTAGAAGTCAATCTTCCACTAGCAGCCTTCAGATGAAGGTGTAGAACTCGAAGCTCCTCTTGCACCATGCCTGCCTCGAGGCTGCCATGTTCCCACCTTGATGATAATGGACGAAACCTGTGAATCTGTAAGCCAGTCCCAATTAAATGTTGTCCATTCACAGCAGTAAAACTCTAACTAAGACACCCTCTGTCCACACACCTTCACTTGCAAATGTTCATTGCAATGAGTCATTGGTCTGGTCCAAGGCCTCTGACTTCAGGAACACCATCAGAATTGGATCCTCATCAGAACTCCTCCCAGTTATCCTTTGTTGCCTGTGTCATGGAGATCCTGCAGCTTTGGATCAGCAGCTCTGGCCCTTTCAGGCATCCTAACCATTCACAGATGATATAGATTTTGGGGGTGGGCCAACTCAGAGTCATGGATCTGGGCCTGGATGTTAGCTGAGTTGGCCAGCCTGCATGTACCACCAGGGTGAGCTTTCCAGCACTGCTCTGGCTAGGCCATCACTGAAGGCAGGAGGCAGGGTCAGCTCTTGTGCCCTCAGGGCCAGTTCAAGGACCCATGCATCCAGAGCCAGCTCCACTGTGTATAGCCCAATCAAGACACAGGGCTCGCTCTCCCAAGTGCTGCAGCCTGTGAGGGGCTGGCTCACTGATGCCTTCACCATCAGGACCAGCTACACTATTATGCCCAGGCAAAGTGCGGGGCCCATTCTCCTGAGTGCTGCAGTCTAGTGAAGAGCAGTTACAGTCTGCACAGCCCCTGGACATCCGTGTGATCTCCAGCAGCTACCCTGACCATACTATGTTGAGTTCTGTTCTGTTGCTGTGTATTATAATGCTAAATTCCCTGTCCCAGTTGCAAGATCTAGTTCCAAACCTTGCTCCATAACTTAAAATTATTGGTTGAATAAAAATGGTTATGGTCAATTCCTGGAGGGAATAGAAGTAGGTAGATTTTCAGTTACCTGGTTGGGGGTCACAGGTAGAGAGGAGACAGGAGGCTATCATGAGAGAAGATGGCTCATGAGCACATGGCCAGGAGAAATAGCAAGCATTTGGGGTACACCGCTGGGAAAGTAAACCGTCTAGCAGTTAGGAAAGTCGATTAGGGGTTGCCCCCCAGTAATTGTCAAAGTCAAGTAAAATAACCAGAGTCTGAATCTCATTCATTTGTACACTAGATGGGGATATGTTTAAACTGGAAAAACAACAATACTACGAGCCATAATGTATATGAGTTATGGACATCAACACCGCATAGCTAAGGGCCAATTCATGACCCTCAGCAGCAGCTCAGCCTAGGTCCTCACTATGGCCCCATATGGTGGGCTCGTCACTCACCACAGGCTAATCCTCTCTATCCTCGAATATCCAGTACCAACTTCATAGCGCTCCAGCTGCTCCACTTCTCTTCTCTCCCATCTTCCCACCACATATTTACTGTGGTGGCTCCTTCTGCAGGCTGGCCACACAGCTGGTGGGCTCCTGGGTAATGTCCTTTGGAGAGGATGTCTTTTTTTGTTTGTTTGTTTGGTTTGGTTTGGTTTTTTGAGACAGGGTTTCTCTGTGTAGCCCTGCCTGGCTGTTCTGTAACTCACTCTGTAGACCAGGCTAGCCTTGAACTCTCGAACTCAGAAATCTGCCTCCCTCTGCCTCCCAAGTGCTGGGATTAAAGGTGTGTGCCACCACCGCCCGGCTTGGAGAGGATGTCTATGGCCTGCCTGTGCTGTGTGCTGGAGGGCAGGTCTATGTGTGGCATCAGGGTCAATAGGTCTGTCTTCCTCTTCCCACCATTGTGTGGTGGTGGGCAGGGCTCTGTGTGTCTGGCCTGCCTGTGACATGGGGCAGGTCTCTGGGTGTCTTTCCCTGCCTGCACTGTGTGGCATTGTGTGGCATGGCAGAACCTAGGTCCGTTTTCCCGCACTGTGCTACTTGGATTTGATTTGATTTGATTTTTATGAGTCCCAGGCAACAGTTTTGGTCACCAAGCCAGGCATCAAGCTAGGACGAACAAAGGACTGCCATCTGCTCTGTCCTGGCTGATGTAAGAACACCACCACCAAAGAGGTATCTCTTTGCCCATCCCAGTGGGAATTATTTCTTTTTGAGATAATCTTTCTGTGTTGCCCTGGGTATCCTGTAACTCATTATGTAGACCAGGCTGCCCTTGAGGTCATAAAGATCTGCTTCTTCCTCCAAAGGGCTGGGCTTAAGGGCATGTACCACCACACTGGGCAATTATTTTCATTATTGGTCTCACCAAATATGTGATAGAAACAATTTAAGACGAGTTTCATTTATTTAGCTCACAGTTTGTTGCAGGATGTTTAATCACACTGCAAACCCTGAGATTATGCTATTTACTGGGGGGGGGGGCCTTTTCTACATGTGGCGTGGCTCAGCCCTTAGCACACACCTTTAATCCCAGTGAAGATAAAGTGAGTTTGTAAACGGATGTTTGAAATTGATGTCTAATTGAGTGGCAGACAAAGTGACGAATCAGAGGAAGTTTTGGCAGGATAGGATACGCCCAATTCTCATGTGAAGAGACAGGAAAGGGAAGCCACTTAAGGGAGCAATGCAAAGGAAGAGAAAGGAAGAAGATGAGGCAGTTTTATTGAGACAGTTGTACAGAGACGGGTTGCTTAGAGTGAATAAGCTAGACACAGGTAAAGACAGAACAAGCTAGAGAATGAGGAGCCAGGAGATTAGAATATATCACCTTACGATATATTAGTACGTTAGTACGAGGCCAAGCAGAGCAGTTCGGGAGAGGCCCAGAGAGAGAAGCCAGACTGAGTCAGTCAGTTTGGAGAGGAGTTTGAGTCAGAACAGCTGAGCTGAATCAGCCAGCCAGAGATCAGAAAGAACTAGAAAGGATGAGTTTATCCAGAAGTAAGTCTCAGAGGCTGAAAACATTGCAGGCCTAGATTAGATTGTATGGAGGCAGTAAGTCTTGGAGATGACAATTACCTAATGGAAAATAAAAGAGACTTGTACATGGTTTTAGAGAGCTTTACTGTCATGGAATGTGTCAAAGCAGCTCACATTATGGTCTATAGAAAACAAAGAGGAGATACTGGCAGGATGGCTCCACAGTTAGGAACACTGGCTGCTCTTCTGGACGGTTGGGATTTGATTCTCAGAAACTACTCAGTGGCCCTCACCCATCTGATCCAGGGGATCAGACACCTCTTCTGGCCTCTACAGGCACTGTGCACAGGTAGTGTGCAGACAAACATGCAAGTAGCACATCCTTACACATAACATAAAAAAACAAACAACGAAAGGAATCAGAGAGGGAAAGGATAACTTGAAGAATTCCCCCCACACACAGTGACCTCCCTCCAGCCAGGTGCTACCTCCTAAATGTTCAGAACCTCCCAAAATAGCAATAGTAGGTGGGGCTAATCACTTGAAATATATCTCTGCCGGACATTTCTTACTCAAACATGACCAAAATTATTATAGAACATTAGCACCGTTCTATAGTAACAGTGATATACAGAACCTTTCTTTCTTCCCCTTCTCCTTCCCCTTCATCTTCCTCCTCCTCTCTCTCTCTCTCTCTCTCTCTCTCTCTCTGTCTCTCTCTCACACACACACACACACACACACACACACACGCACACACACATTCTCACTCTTAGGTTTTTCTAGACAGAGTGGAGGTCCCCTGACTCTCACTCCTGGCTTTAATTTTCAGATTAGTGTATTCCAATCTCAGATTTTTCTCTCAGTGCATTGGTGGCATTAAGCAATAGCCTTCCAATCTGCAGTCCATGGTTGCTGTCCCCCATAATTGTCAGACTGTGAGGCTTTGCACTGGCTTGTGTTTCTCTGTCATTATGCCACCAAATTTACCACAGACATCAGCAGCCCCAGCCCTACAACCCCAGCAGCCCCTTACCACTAGAGATGAGGTACCCACTGCAGTGACCTGTGAGTGAGGAGACTTCAAGACCCTCATTCTAGACACATCTGTTTAGAATTACTTCATGGCCCTATTGTCTTAGGCTGAGCCTTCCAGCAGCAAAGCTTGAGACAAGGACTGACTATTATATAAAGCCCTGAGCTCTCATAACAAAGGCCTTGTGGAAAGCTAAGGACAGAGGAAGCAAGGGCCTAGGCTGGTGGTTCTCAACTTGCCCAATGCTGCCACCATTTGATACAGTTCCTCATGTTCTGGGTGACCCTCAGTCATAAAATTATTTTTGTTGCTATTTCACAACTGCAATTTTTCTACCATTATGAATCATAATGTAAATATTTGGGGGGAAATAGAGATTTGGAAAGGGGTCTACACCCACAGACTGAGAACCTCTGGCTTAGGCAAAGTTATCAAGAAAGTGGGCTCAGCAGGAGATTGCCTTTAACTTATGGAAGTGAAGTCCTAGCATTTAGTCACCACCTGGTGACTTCTGTGGGATTTGAATTTGGGGCAAAGTGGCACCTCTTCAGTAGGGGGCCACCCCTAGGCTAAAGAGCAGAGATTGATTTGCCACCAGGATTTTTAAAAGCGATATGAGGGTAATGAGACACTGGGCTGTGAAGTGGGAAGGAGCCATCCTGAGACTCTCTGAGCATTACTGTCCCTCCCTCTGCACTGTCGACAGCAATGCCTAGCTCACAGATTCATCTGAAAGGCAAATGAGGCTGGATGACTGACAGCTTGAATATGAACGAATCCAGCTATCCCAGGCTGTTAGGGAATGACAGCGGCGGAGCTGTCTCAAGTCTGATGGGAGGTCACGGAGCTTCTAGGAAATAACATTCGATCATCAAGATCTCCTTTTTGACTCAGTCACTCGTTTGTACAAGTATCTCTGCAAATACCACAGTGCTCACTATGGTCTGACTGTTTGCACCCCTCCCAGATGCCTTAGTGGAATGCTAATCCCCAAAATGATCCTCCTCAGAAGTGGCTCTCAGGGACGTGATCGGACCATGAGAGTAGAGCTGTCAAAAGTTCAGGTCCGGGCTGGAGAGATGGCTCAGTGGTTAAGAGCACTGACTGCACTTCCAGAGGTCCTGAGTTCAAATCCCAGCAACCACATGGTGGCTCACAACCATCTGTAATGAGATCTGATGCCCTCTTCTGGTGTGTCTGAAGACAGCTTCATATAATAAATAAATAAATCTTAAAAAAAAAGACTTCCATTTAAAAAAAAAAAAAAGTTCAGGTCCCACTTCCTGCCTCAGCCTCCTGAGTGCTAGAACCGCAGGAGGTGCAACACCAGGCCTGGCCTAAAGAACAGATTATCTGCTCTTATTAGTTTCTGTTCTTGGGATCCGAACTGGGGCCTTCCTCATATTGGATAACACTTTGCACCAAACTACCTCTCCGGGCTTTTCAATTTGCACGTGCATGGGTATATACAAGTGTGCAAACAGTGTTCATTCCCATTCATGTGTGCAAATACAAGAGGGTGTGCCACAGGGCACATTTGAAGGTCAGATGACAACCTCTGGTGTGGGTCCTCAACTTGCACCTTGTTTGAGACAGGCTCTCTTTGTCATTTTTTCTGCGGTGTACAGCAAACCTGCTGGCTCACAAGTGTTCACAGATTCAACCATCTCTACTCTCGCCTCCCTGTAGAAACTGGAAGACACTATCACACCTTTTACATGGGTTCTGGTGATTTGAATTTGGTTCGTCACACTTAGCAGAAGCCATCTTTATTCACTGAACCTTTTCACCCAGATGTTGTTATTGCTGTTGCTGCTGCCGCCACCTCCCCTCCTCCCCCTCCTCCTCCTCCTCCTCCTCCTCCTCCTCCTCCTCTTCCTTTTTTGATACAACTTCATCAAGGTGCCCACACCAACCTGCAGCGCATTCTCTTCCTGACTCGGGTGTCTAAGTAGCTGGCATTGCTGCTGTGCCTCCCCACACCTGGCTCACAACCCCCTTTTCTATTTTAAGATTCAGCTGGAGTGATGTGCTCCTGATGTGATCCATGTTCCACTTCTTCTTCTTTTTTTTTTTTTTTTTTTGTTTTTCGAGACAGGGTTTCTCTGTAACCCTGGCTGTCCTGGAACTCACTCTATAGACCAGGCTGCCCTCTAACTCAGAAATTCGCCTGCCTCTGCCTCCCAAGTGCTGAGATTAAAGGCGTGCACCACCACCACCCAGCCCCGTGTTCCAATTCTTATCATGCAACAAACACCAAGTGGAGAAGATTATGGTGAGATCAGCTGAGAAGAACTGTGACGGAGAAGTCAGAGAGGACAGGCCAGAAGGATTGTCTAAGGACATAAATTCACAAGGGGATTCACAAGTAGCCCTATTTTTCAGGAGGCAGTGTCTTTACAAGGCCTATAATTTCTCTCTTAACATTATTTTTAATTTTACGTGTATGGGTGTTTTGCCTGCATGTGTGTCTGGGTACCACTTGGACCTCTTTGTACTGATTCTGATGGAGACCAGAAGAGGGTACTGGATTCCCTGAAACTAGAGTTAGAAATACTATTTGGGTACTGGGAATTGAACCTGGGTTCTTCAGAAGAGCAGCCAGTGATGCTGACCACTAACCCATCTCTCCAGTCCCAACTGCCAGTAGCTTCTTAGTTGGGAGTTTATTATTTATTTCAGACACTGTAATTAAGTTTTCCTGTCGGAACTTAATGATGAACCCATAAAACTGGCCAATATAGATGAAAGATGAATATAGAAAAGCTATGGTCGTGTTTCAGCACACAAGAAGTTCCATGCCCAAGCTATTTCCATTTCTCCCTGCTACTACAAGAAAATTAACAGCAATTAAAACTATTCTTTTTTTCCCTTCTGATTCTCATGCAGAGCTGTGAGTTAAAACTAGAATGTTAAATAGCGTTAAGCGACACAGTATACGTCCCAGCAAGTGTTTGACAGAGATAAGTTTTAACACTTCTGCTAAAAATTGAAAAGCTGTCACTTCCGTGTTAGAGCTGAAAATAGTCATTGCTTACAAGTTGTTCTTTGTTATGTGAGTGCTCATCACCCTTTGTGTTGCTCACACCAACATGCAAGCATCCCACGTAAATGCCTATAGCCTTAGCACTGCTGATTGTTGGGGCTGCATTTAATCTATTTTAAATGAATGCGGTCTCCACA